AGAATTATGCAAAAATTACACTATCCCATCTTTAAATTATTTATATTTTGTAAATGGTTCTTCTTTGTGTCTTCTACATCCACCCTCAGTAACTGTTGTATGAAATCATCCTTTGTGATCATCTTTGACATAGTAGATACTATCAGGAAAGCCTGCAGAAAAAGCTTTGGTGGGGCAGAAAAAAGATGCCTTACTTGGTTTTTTGGAGTGTTGGGGAGCAAGGTGTCTAATCCTATGATACAAATTAGTGAGAATTAAAATAATACTTTCTTTCACAACACCCAAAACTTGTACTGTGGTCTGCTTATGGCCAAGCAATTCTAAGGGATGAGAAAAACTAGACTTGTGAATATTTCCCCTTCTTCTCCTGTTCTTTCTAACTTTCTTACACAGAATTTAAGATTCTGCATTTGCCCTACTTGAACATATAGTCACTTCTTAGTTGTAGGGCTCTTTGAAGTCTACAAAGATCAACCTATGAAAAACCTCTGAGAGTTATTATTTCTCTGAGATGGACCCTCAAGAGGAAGAAACCTAGTGATAAATTTAATGCAACCTTCACTGTGTATGTGTCCACCCTTGGAGATGTTAAATGAAGAGGGAGGTGGCTTCTCATCTTAATTCTGACCTATACCCATCGTCATAGTCAGGAGCTCAGAGTTCCAGTCTAGCTTAGGCCACTCCTTTTGCCATATGGCTTTGGGTAAATCATTTCCCTCGTGCTGAATTGCAAAACTGAGTCAATATACAGTGTGCTTGCTCTAATGTCTGGACATGACATTATTTAGGGTCACTGAGAATCTATATAAAGCTCAGTCAGGCATTGGAGGTGGGGTTGAGCTAGGTTAATACCCTTTGAGTACCAAGAAACTCCACCCTGCGTGGACCTCCATCTTCAACTCCAACATGTAAATGACTGGTAAATTGTCACTTCAATGTTTACAACAAGATAAATCTAGGCAAAGTGGAAATCACCGATTATACATTGACAATTCAGAAAAATAACTTTTCAGGCCAAAATGCATTTCTGAACACTAGATAACTAGGTGAAGGGAGAGAGCCACAGTGTAGATCTGCTTACTTGGAGCGAAAGCCACTAGAGCCATAAACTGGTAAGAACACTTACATGGTAATTTGGGTGAATTACTGAAGCTGAGTATAGAATGGCATAAGAATGAATTAATTCCTGACTGTTGCAGCCTTAGGACCCCTCCTCCCACCTCCAGGAATTCCACGATTCTCAAAATGAAGACCTGAGATAATCCTCTCATGGATTACAATGAGTAATCATTTTGAAATACACCTGTTCAGAGCCTTCTCAATAATAAAGGCTTACTCTTCGTGGAGAATGACTGTACCTGAGCCATGGCCCAGAGCTGCAGGGAAAGAGCCTTCCTCTGACTCCAGCCTCTGCTAGCTTTTCTATCTCACCTAACTTGTGGGAGGAGGGATTCAGAACTATACAAGATTTAACACCTGTGAAGGTCACAAGCTAGAAATATTAAACTCACCATAAGAAGATTGAGGAATGTCACCACATCTAGGAAGGCTTTGCCACGAGCTACTGTCTGTTCTTCAGCCTCATTCAGTTTTCAAAGAGAATCATTTACAAGCTATCTTCTGTTCTCTGGGCCCATTCATTTCCCTTAAAATCATTTAATCCCCCTTCTAAAATTTCCCAGGTCTCCTACTTCCCTCTCTGCTAAGAGGAGGGTAAGATTCAATCATCTTGCCCTATTTTAAGTTTCTCTCTCTCTCTATTTTTATTATTATTTTTTGAGACAGAGTCTCACTCTGTTGCCCAGGCTTTCACTCTGTCGCCAGTGCAGTGCCCTGGTGTCAGCCTAGCTCACAGTCACCTCAGAGTCTTGGGCTCAAGCGATCCTTCTGCCTAACCTCTCAAGTAGCTGGGACTACAGGTGTGTGCCACCACACCCAGCTAATTTTTTTTCTATTTTTAGTAGAAATGGTATCCCCCTTGCTCAAGCTGGTCTCCAACTCTTTTTTTTTTTTTTTTTTTTTTGGACAGAGTCGTCGCTTTTGCCCAGGCTAGAGTGAGTGCGCTGGTGCGTCGCCTAGCTCACGAGCAACTCAACTTCTGGGCTTAAGAATCCTGCTCCCCCCATCTCAACATCAGCCCATGCTGGTATTTTTCTAAATAGTGGCCAATATTCTTTCTATTGTAGACGGGGTCTCGCATCTTCTCAGGCTGGTCACTACACAACAGAGCAATGCCTCCCAGCTCGCAGATGCTAATTAGCGGACACCGGCCCAGAGTCTCCACTCAACCAGAACCACAACACCACATCCAGAGGCTAGATTACAGGTTACACACACGACACTGGCCCGAGTTCATCTTTATTGTCTCAAACCACACGTGCATGTTAATAAATTTGAACGCTTTATTTCCTGCTAATTTATCTATGCTGGTTTATTTCAGCAGACTTAAAGACCTTCAGAGAGAAGGAGGAATTCCCTTAACATCTAAAGATCAGCATTGTAACCAGGGACCCATGCAGCCTAGCCTCAGAGACATTTCTGGCTTTTTGCCACAGAGTTTAGAGTTGGTATTACTTGGATTGGGGTTTTTATATATTTTCCTGGGCTGGAGTTCTGGCCTTGGCTACACCCTGTGAGGAAAACTTCAGTGCGCACCATTTCCTAACTCTGAATCTCATGATAGTCTTCCGTGCCTTGTAAGCTCTCTTCGCCTGAAACGCTAAGGTTCCAGAACTTTTTCAGGGCCTCCGCTGAGCTGAACACCGCAGACTACCTTCCAAGAAGCTTGCCCTGGCCAGGCATATCTGGGTCTGCGGTACTGCCGAGGAGAAGGATACATTTAGGCTGGCTCTTCGGGTAAAAGGACAAGCGCTGGACCATGCTGCGACCTCCTAGCGTCCTCATGCTGGTCTGCACTTTGCCAGGGTCCTCTTGGCTACGCATGCCTTCCTCCTCCTCCCAAGAAGCACAGGGGAAAGCAGGCTGCCCGGTCCTTGCCCACCACAGAGGCGGGCAACGAGCCTTTAAGTGTAGCACCCTGAGTAGGGTAAGTGTAGGCACCGCTGAGAAGGGTGTGTAGCAAGCATGAAGTAGGGTAAGTGAGGCACCGCTGAAGGGTAAGTTAGGCACCCCTGATAGGTAAGTGTAGCACACCGCTGAGAAGGGTAAGTGTAGCAACCTGAGTAGGGTTAATGTAGCACCGCTGAGTAGGGTAAGTGTAGGCACCGCTGAGAAAGGTAAGTGAGGGCACCTGATGGGGTAAGCGTAGGCACCCCTGAGTAGGGTAAGCGTAGGCACCCCTGAGTAGGCCGTAAGTGGAAGGCACCGTGAGTAGGTAAGTGTAGCACTAGTAGGGCAAGTGTAGGCACCCCTGAGTAGGGTAAGCGTAGGCACCCCTGAGTAGGGTAAGCGTAGGCACCCCTGAGTAGGGTAAGTGTAGGCACCCGCTGAGTAAGTAGGAAGCGTAGCACCGCGAGTTAAGGGTAAAGTGTAGGCAACCCTGATAGGGTAGTGTGGCACCGCTGAGTAATAGGGTAAGCGTAGGCACCCCTGAGTAGGGTAAGCGTAGGCACCCCTGAGTAGGTAACGTGTAAACAAGCCCGCTAGTAGGTAAGTGTAGGCCACCCCTGAGTAGGAAGTGTAGGGAGCCCTGAGAGGCGTGCTGGGCAACGTGTGCCCTGATAGGGTAGCGTAGCATGCTGGTGGTTTGGCCACCTAGGTTCAGGCCCAGGGCTGGCAGCTGCACGGGTTCGCGAATCCCCGCCCGGCTTGGTGGTCCCGCAGGTTTCTTATTTCCAGGGCTAAGCCTCGCGCATCCCGCAGATGGTGCCCACAGAACCACCTCCCTCCAATATTTAAAGGACGGCCGGGACTCCTGGGCACCGCCAAGCACTTCGGAACAAACGGAAGATTTCTGGGACGCTTGAGAGCAGCCCATTCAACTACCAGGGACTTGACTGTCCTTCCTCCCATTTCCGTTCTTCCGACTTCCGACACGGCCACAGCGACCCCTAGATTAACCTAAGGTTTGACCCACAGACCAACGTGGGACCCGGCATACCGGGGACAGCACCCACCGCGCACCACCCCCAAATTCCTGAGAGCCAGAAGCCGCGACACGGCCACTTTCCAGAGCGCCTCCTTCCGCCTGCACAACCGGCCCATCGAGGCAGTTGCCCACCGAGCCTGGAGGTGGGAGCTCCGTCGCCGCCAGGTGGCATCGTCGGGAAAAGCACAGCTTCCTCCGGGAAAGCGGGTTTCCTTGGAAGAAGGCTGCTCCAGCTCAGGGAACCGATGCTGCGAAGGTGAGCTGCTCCTTCAGTCCCCAAACCGCCTTAGTTGGAGCCTGTGGTCCCTCTGAGCCGCGAGGATGCTGCACCCAGGACCAAGCCTAACTTCCTACCTGGGCTCCGAAAGGTTGGTAGCTAGCCAGCGACCTGCGTTCTGAGATTTAAAAGTCTTTCTCAAGCACGCAATTATCAGGCCATTATAAGTTGACATGCATATTAAATATATGTGTATTATACTCAGAAGTAACCACAGAAATATCTTAGAGACCAATAAAATGTTTTTCCATGAGTAATGAATCTGTATTTTCTACAATAGAAATGCCCCTCCTTAAGGACCATGGCGCGGTGCGCTCACATGAAGACCCTGGTGTTGGCAGTACACTGTTTCACAATGATGCTGCCCCTACCTGCTGAAAAGACATCTTTCACCTCTTCACCATGCTCGAGCTTGTTCACAAGAGCATGGAAACCACAGCACATAGCTCCATTAAATGAAATAAGACACAGAAAGCCTCGTAGTGTATCATCATGATCAGCATGAAATACTTGAGATACACAAATCCACCAAGATCTAAAGTAGACAAGGGGTTGCCAGATTTGGGGAAGGACGAATGGTTTAGGGGGGAGGGGTAAATGAATGATGAATGGAGAGTAAATGTTAAAGGGTACTGGATATCCGTTAGGGTACTGAAAATGTCCTGGAATCAGTCATAATGGTTGTACAACTCTTTATTAAAATAAAATTTAATAAAAAATTTATTCATTCATCATGGTTATAACTAGATAGTAATTATGTTTCCTTAAGTTAAAATGAGCTTGAGGACAGAAATGCATAGTTCTAACTCTTAACATGAGAAGGTCTCTGGACTGTAGTTTCCTGAGACATGGGAGTTCACCAGGAAATCATCACGAAACTTGATACTTCATGGGGAACCAAGGCAAAGGAAAGGCTTTAAAGGGGAAGAGAATGAGGAAGGAAAAAAACTATATATGAGGGAACTTTTACAAACATCATAGAAGCTCACGGTTGCATTGTCATAATCCAGAAAAACCCCAACCCGACCCAGAGGCCTTTGCATATACAAAGCTAAAGGAGGGGAGTTGCTGGAGATACTACAAAGATTGTTCCTCTTCAAAGAAAATAAAAAATATGCTTCCTCAAAGCCAAGAATGTTATTGTTATCTCTTGTCCAGGAATCTTTGCAGACTCCCAGAACCCAGCTGGAGTAGTGTGTCACATCCACTTCCCAATAATGCCTGCCAGTGGTGAAGGTCTGAGCTCCCCATGCAGCAAGGCTCTTGGCTCTCTGGGGCTCCACGGGCACACCATAATGTTCAGCTCCAAATATCACACTTCTCACGTCTTCAGAAAGCCTCATATAGTGACTGGCTGTCTTCTTACTCAGAGAACTGTGTACTACAAAAATAGGCAAAAATCAGATCAGCAAGTACCCTGAAGAGTAAAGACTCTCTGCCCAATTAGCTACTCTATTTCCCTCTCCTCCAAGAAAAAACAGAATGGAGGGAGCAAAGAGAATTCAGATTTTCTCATCTGTGGAGCACAAGGGTTATTATGACCTCTACAATTCATGGAGATTCTTCAAGTCATATACCAAAACAAACAAACCCAACATATCATGAACTATGTGAAGTAGTGATTTGTTGTCTCCCTCTGGATAGTTTATTTCCACACACTTAAAACTTTCTTTTTTGTTTTGTAGAAGATTCCTCTTGTGTTCTTGTCTTCAATCACATCAAAAATAGATAACACTTTGCTATGGTGCAGGTATTTATTGGGATTTAAGTTAAGCCTGTTACATTTTCAAACATCAAAAAATTTGATGGAAATTTACATATGCAGTTTAGAAGTTTCTGTGAAGAAGTTTCTGGCTTTACACTATCTGTTCAGAACCTGCCACATTCAATCTAATCTTGGTTTTAGCCCTCTGCTGCCTAGTGTGTGCCCAACATGATTGGTTCACAGATCCTTCAGCATTTCTCAATGCTATTTGAGATATATCTCATAGCATTACAATTGTTCTGCTTATCAAAGCGTTAGTGTTTTCTGGTTGGTCAAAACTTTCTGATTTTATAATGAATAAATGTTATTTGTACAGTACATGGAAAATGCACATGGGATACAGAAGAAATTAAAAACCATCAATGCCAAATCTAAATCTTTTAAATTGGAGTAAACTGAATAAACACAAAATATTGATTGCTACTCAGAGAACTAAGCATCGTATCTCTTCATAACCGCATGACCTGAATACTCTTTCTTCTCTTACTCTGCCTGTGTCAGATATAACTGAAATGTGTATCTTGCTTTGCCTTTTCAGCAAACTGTAAGTCAAAAAGTTCAGTCTTGATCATTATGATTATTCAGAGAGAGAAGATAGAAACATTTTGGGAAATCATGTACCACCTTCATGTCAGAAAAGAATGAAATTTAAATGGGAAATGTTACATTCAATCCACCAAAGAAAGGAATTGAGGCCTGACTACCAAAGAGCCGCCTCTCACCTCTGAACGTGTTCAGCATGTCGAGGAGTCCAGTGATGCGCCAGGACGTGAGCTCTGGGTTCACCGGCTGGGGCTTTTGCACCAGCACTGACTTGGTCCTGCAAAGAATGGCATCAGTTACACCACAGGGCGAGGTTAATCACGCATCATTACAAAGATACCAGTTTTTTTTTTTTTTTTTTTTTTTTTTTTTTTTTT